CTCTTAGATTTGTGAATTCCTTCCTTCTATATATTTTCACTTCCCACTATATGGGCAGGAAGGGGAGTTTTCACAGATCAGGGGACTGTTTTAGCCTTCAATGAATAATAGTGGCAGGTGCTGCCATTCAGGCTTCCTCCAGGTCCTTGTGCTAACGTCTCTCTTAAGTCTCACCCAAGATCTGGCTCCTCTAAGTACTTAACAATTCCTGTTGTTCTGTCCTAGAAGGCAGCCCCAACACACTTCTTACTACCTGACATTGGACATGCCCAAACAGGATCCTATAATCTACAGAACGCTGAAATTCTCCCGTTCTCACAGCATCGTCCCTCTGCCTTAACGTTCCACTTAGCCTTAGATGCGATGTTTGTCTGCTTGTCTTCAGAAACAAGTAAAATTCACAAATTGATTAGAAAATAAAAGTTGCTGTTACTTAGTAATCTTTCAGTCATGTCAGACTCTTGGCAAAAACACCGGAGTGGTTTGCCATTTCCTTCTCCAACTCATTTTACAGATGAGAAAACTGACACAGACAAGATTAAATGACTTGCCCAGGGTCACACAGCTAGTAAATATCTGAGGCCAGATCCTCCTCCCTCCTAGATGAACAAGATGGGTAGCTAGCACTTGGCACTTGACTTTTGTGTATTATGCTTGAGAGCACATGAGCTGACCTGGTCCCATCTCTGCTTATCCTTTTAAAAATTAAAGGTGGACTTATGTCCTTCCTAGGTGCCAATGAGTCCACTACACTTGGGCTACTATCAATAGCCTCAGGATGCAGCTGGGTCACATAAAGAATTCCTCTAAGACAGAGAGGGGGTGGTTTTGGCCCCGTGTGTGTAAAGCTCTCTTTCCTTAATGTAACCAATCAAGTTATGCCAACTCTATAACCAATTGAATTATTTCCTCACTTACTCTGATTTGTTCTTTGTCTATTCTTATAGGAAGGAGTTGCATCTCCTCTTTGTCCATTGGCTAAACAGAAGCAGTTGTTAGACCTGCTTTATTAACAAGTTCATGCCCTGCTAATAAGCTATTGTTTTGTTCAGAGAATATGGGCCTCAGTCTACCTTTGTTGAAAATTTATTCACTATACTTATGTTTTAAAAAGAAAGAAAGAAATTGGGGAATGGCTGAACAAGTTGTGGTATATGAATGTAATAGAATATTATTGTGCTACAAGAAATGATGAGCAGACGGACTTCAGAAAAACCTAGAAAGACTTATATCAACTGATGCTGAGTGAAGTGAGCAGAACCAGAACATTGTATACAGTAATAGCAACAATGTGTGATGACCAACTTTGATAGACTTAGCTCTTCTCAGCAATGCAAGGATCTAAGACATCTCCAAGGGACTCATGGTGAAAAGTGCTATCCACATCCAGAGAGGGAACTATGAAGTCTGGATGCAGACTGAAGCATACTCTTTGCTCGTTTTTTTCTTCTGTTTTGTTTTGTTTCTCTTTCTTGTGGCTCTTCCTATTGGTTCCAATTTTTCTTTATGGCATGATTAATGTGAAAATATGTTTAATAGGAATGTATATGTAGAGCCTATATCAGATTGCATGCCGTCCTGGGGAGGGGGGAGGGTAGTGAGGGGGAGAAAATTGGGAACTCAAAAGCTTATGGAGGTGAATGTTGAAAACTAAAAATAAATAAATTAATTTTTTTTTAAAAAGAAAGAAATTGCTGGTGTCAGTGAGGCATTATCCAGGTGTATCCAGACCCAATATATGTCAATAGAATAAGTTGGCTCCATTTGGAACCAAATCTAGTCTATTTATGATATTAGCAGAGTACTGCAAACAGGAAGATGGGATAGAATGCCTGGACACCAGGACCATCCTCGAGGGCTATACGGAGGCATAGATAAGAACCAGGTTCTTCAGTCACTGATGTGAATCCAGAGAAATTTGGCCTTGGGGTTTTTCCAGTGCCAGAGGTTCAGGAGAAGTTAAGGCAGAATCTTAGAAAGAGGACGAGCATCTCCTCACTGCAGGAGTGGGATGTGGGATGTGCCTGAGAAACAGCTCAAAAGATGTAGCTCACCAGCTCTCTATCATTCCAAAAATGGTCCAGGAAAATTCCTTTGTCTGGCATGGATGACCTCAGAGATCATCTCAATAGCTGATAGCTGACATTTATACAGCCCTAATACGGGCCCTGGGCACTATGCTAAAAGCTTTACAATTAGTATTTCATCCATCTTCATGACAGCCCTGGAAGGTAGGTGCTGTTATGACCTTCATTGCACAGATGAGGAAACCAAGGCAGAGAGGTAAAGTGACTTGTTCAGGATCACACAATAAATGTCAGAGGCTGGATTTGAACTCAGGTCTTCCTGACTTTAGGCCTGGCGCTCTATCCATTGCACCACCTAGCTGCCCAAGAAGTTGTTGCCTAAGGGCATCATCATAGCATTCTGATTTTCATATACCTTGTCCATAGTTCCATATGGAAGAAGAATGGAAATATATGTTTGTGTGTTGACAACTGAGAATTGGAGAAAATAACCAATGTGTGTCAGCACACTACGCCAAGCTTGCCCGATGGCCCAGATTACCTGCTGAGCAATCAGAGGCACACATTATTGGACCTGAGCGGTGGCCATTATCAGATTCCTATGGCTGAGGAACACAAGGAGAAAAGGTTTTCACCTGCCCAGCTAATTAATCCAGCAACAAGCAATGATTAAGCCCTTGTTTATGTGCCAGGCACGTTGTGCTGAAGTCTAGGATTACAAAGAAAGTCAAAACACAGTCCCTGCCCTCATGGAGTTGACATTCTAACAGGAGAGACAACTCGGCACATACAAGATCTAGAAAGGATCATTTGAGGATAATGCCAAAGGGAAAATATCAGCAGTATGTGGGGAACTGGGAAACAGTAATCTTCGACCTGAGGCTTCAGTGAAACAAGGGGAGCTGGGAGGTGGAGGTAAGGAGGGAGAACATGGCAGACCAGGGAAGGCAGGCAGGGAGTTGGAAGATGAAATTTTTTGTGTGGGGCGTTGGTGGGAGGCCAGTGTTGATAGATGAGAGATAACTGGAGAGGAGTAAAAGGTAAACAGACTGGAAAGGTAAGAGGGGACTGGTAAGGGCTTTAAAAACCAAACAGAAGATTTTCTATTTGATCCTGAAATATCAGAGTTTATTGGGTAGGGAGGTGATATGGTCAGATCTGTACTTTAGGGAGATTATTGTCAGATGAGAAGAGGAAGCACTGGAGTGGGAAGAGCCTTAAGGCAGGGAGATGACCCCCCCCCCCCAGCAGCTGCTGCAACAGTCCAGGTGTGAGGCGATAAGGGTCTGAACCAGGGCAGGGGCAGAGACAGAAGGAGAGAGGGTTGCTTTGCAGCTAAAAACGTTTGACAATCGATTGGATATGGGGAGTAAGAGAATGAGGGATTCAAGGATGAAGCCTAGGTTCCAAGCTTGGATGAGTGGGAGCAGTAACAGGGACATTTGTAAGACGAGAGCATTTGGGGAGAAATAGAATGAGCTCAGTTTTGTATATACCAAGTTAGAGATGTCTCTGGGACCTGCGGTTCAAAATGTCGGAAAGGCAGTTGATGATGGGATACTGGAGGTCAGGTAAGAGGTTAGGGCTGAGTATATCGACCTGCACAGGGATGATAATTGAACTTATCTGATGAGATCACTAAAGTGGATAGAGTAGTGGGAAAGAGAAAAGGGCCCAGAACAGAGCCCCTTGGATAACTCACATTTAGTGGGTATGACCTGAATGAAAAATTACCAAAGGAAGGAGACAGGGAAGGAGAGGTTGGATAGGTAGGAGGAGAATCAGGAGAGAGGGGTGTCCTGAACACCGAGAGAGAAGAGAATATCAAAGAGAAGAGAGTGATCAAGAAGGATGGGGATTGGGAAAAGACCATTCAATAGACCATTGGTAGCTTTGGAGAGATAAGCCATAATATGGAGGGTTTAGAAGAGAGTGAGAGAAGAGGGGCACTAATCACAGACCCCCTCCTCAAGAACGTTAGCCATGAAAGAAAGAGTGGAGACATATGAACATCGGGGGTGGTTGAAGAAGGTAGTACAGGAAGACACCTGAGGAAGGTGAGATGAGGCACATCAAAAAAGACGAAGCTCTCCTTGGTGGTTTTTCAGGTGAAGCAGGAGGCCAAGTCCTCAGCTGAGTAGATAGAGGAAGAGGCACTGGAGGAGGCTTGAGGAGGGATGAGAAGTTTTGGAAGAGCTGCTGGACTGAAGCGGAGGAGGAGGATGAGGAGGAGGAGAGCCAACCTTTAGGGAGGTGTGAAGGGACTGTCTTGCTGCACTGAGGGCCCAGTTAAGATTCCACCAACAGAAATGTGTAGTCACTCAGTCCCTAAGGGCGTGTGGCTTTCACCAGCTCCCATTAGCCATGCTGTGGCCTTGCCTTCGTCACAGATATCTGCCAGCAGCCAAACCTCCCAGGTCTCCCTCCATGTGAATTTCTTCCATTATGATGCTCAGATGAGACAGGGGAGGACACATCCTCTGGTAGCTATGAAGGGGAGTGGTCATTGTGATTGCTGCAGTTCACTTCATAGCTGCTGCCTTTATCTCTCTCTCTCTCT